TTGACAGAAGCAGCTGCAGAGGTTGGCCGTGCTGCCTGCCCGATCATGGTCTGCTTCTCTTCTAGATACTGCTTGTGATCGTCTTGCTTTTGTTAATCTATTTATTCACTTTTCTTGGGGGTTTTCTGTTTTCAACTTCTACAGAACTTCATCTTTTACTTGCTTATAATCATATGCATGAACGAGAATAACTCATTAGTCATTCAGGGATAACTCTTTTCATATTCCCTTCTATATCTTGCCTGCATTCTTGTTAATTCATGTTAGTCCCTTCTTTTGATTTTGGATTTTGACGAAGGAAGGGTGTGGAAATCTCTTCCTAGTAAATGTATTTTACAACCTTGAGGGAGAGACGGGGAGAGAAAGTCCAAAGAGGACAATATCTATTAACGATGGACTTGAACGGTTACAAATGGTATCAAAGCCTGGTTAAACGGTGTCCAGTGAGAACGTTGGACCCCCTAACAGAAGTGGATTGTGAGAGTGAGATCCCATATTGATTGGAGAGAAGACAGAAGTGGATTGTGAGAGTGAGATCCCATATTGATTGGAGAGAAGTACGAAACATTCCTTATAAGAGCATGGAAATATCTCCCTAACATATGTATTTTAAAACCTTGAGGGAAAGCCTAAAGAGGACAATATTTGTTTGCAATGGACTTGGACTGTTACGTATCAGAGCCAGGTTACGAACAGTGTGCCAACGAGGACGCTGGACCTAATGGGAGTGGATTGTGAGATCCCATATTGATTGGGGAAAAGGACAAGCATTTCTTACAAGAGCGTGGAAACATCTCCCTAGTATATATATGCATTTTAAAACCTGGAGGGGAAGCCCAAAGAGAACAATATTTGTTTGCGATAGCTTGAGCAGTTACAAACGGTATCAGATGTGCCAAGGAGCAAGCTGGATTGTGGTATCCACATTGGTCTGTCAGTGATCGGTATGAAACGGAACAAACTTTGCTGGTGTTCATGTGATGGCTTGAAGTTGAGAGTCGAAGGTTTTAGGGGATGAATTTCTTCACTTGTAGCAGTAGAAAGATTGAAAGTTATGCAGTTTTGGCTCATTAAATTCTTTGCAAAACTTGTGGTGAGGAGGCTATGGCCCAGATGTTTGGTTGTCTCTGTAAATGCAGGTGGTACAACTTGCAAGCTTGTTCTTCAATTATTCAGAAGGCTAACCTGAATTTCTTTAAAAAATTATTAATTTTTTTTATTCTCTTTATAATTTTGGAAATATATTCACCTAACATATTTTCTTATACGAACATTATTATTATTTAATCAATTTCATTATTTAAAGAAATCATATTTATGCATAACACATTACTTGTAATAACTAATTGTAAAACTCAAATATCAAATATTCACCAAGTCACAATGCATTATTGACAAAGCATGTTGCTTATGGCCGCATGACAGATGTCCTAGTCTTGCTTATTCGAGTCGGTTGATAGGAATGTCAACCAATTGAGTGAGGGAGGATATTACGGTCATGCATGTCCAAGGTGTATTGTCAATGACTGCATGACAAATATCTCGGTCTTGTTTGTCCACTACATGTTGTCCATGATTACATGCTCGTTTCAAACCCCTTTTACATGTTTTCATCCTAGATAGGGTCTTTACCATTCCATATTGGGTTAGTATGAGGGTGTATGATCGTTTACCAAAATTGTGTCTACACCTGGAAGAGCTAAAATGCTCCAAAATGTACTATAAGAGATATGACTAGTTGTCAAATTCTTCCTACGCGATAGTTATAAGGGATATGACTAATTGTCAACTTCTTTCTACGTTAATAGAATTAAATTACCGTGGTTGGTGGGAAGAGATAATGAGTGTGTGTGGACCTTTGATGGTGCCTTTGGACTGAATCAAATCCACCATTTGACATTGTAGATTTTGCTATCATTATAGTGTTTCTCAAAAAAAAAAAATCTCCAACCACTATCGGTTAACTTTCTAAGCCCGACACCTTATGGTTATGATATTCCAACATGGTCATGTTGCTTATTCTTTGTTGAGTCATAACTGCTGTCCCCACAGAGATACAAGTAATTTCAGTATATTTTGTCCTTAAATTTTTTAAGAGATTATCCAACATAGAATTACCACGTTCAACTTTGGAGGCTCGAAAGTTTCCTAAGAAACATGTATATTGAAAGAACTCATGTTGATATGTAAGGATAATCTTTCACTTTTAGAAATAAAAAGTTAGTAACCTAATTATATCGTAAGAGATATAGGGAAATGTCAGAGTCATCAGATGGCAAGCGATTTTATAAAGATCGGGATCCTATTATCTCGACCAATTGAATAAGAGAACTAACTCGATAAAAATTCCCAAATTGCCCTCGACTAAAAGCCACTAGGTAATATGGATGTGGGAATAAACATAATATAAAAATTGGATTTGACAGTTCTAAAATTTGGGGAATCAAATGGGTTTGAGCTTACTAATGCAAACACTTATTTTTGGAACAAGAACTTATTCATATTCAACACATAGTGGAAGCAATTTCATTTTATATGGTTAAATTATATTTTATTAATTTTATATTCAAATTAAATCCCATCCAAATAAAGTGTGTGACAAAGTTTCTATTTATTTATTTTTTTTTTATTTTTATAAAACTATAATATAAATTTAAATTAAGATATATTTGTTCATTTTCTTAAACGCTATTAATTTCTTAATTAATTAACCTATATTTAGTCATGGTATTAGGTTAAAAAATGACGTCATAAGGTTTGACCCTTTTTTTATTCGTCATTTTTTAACCATCGTACCATAAAAAAAAAAGAAATATTATTCAATATAACTGAGAAAATACTATTTTTTATGTTTTTAAAGTGACTTTCTACTTGTCACATATTATAATTGGAATTCTAAAAACATCTATTCCTTCGTCACCGCACGAGTAAAGAATTTGTCACTTTCTTGGTTGTGTTGTAAAAGCCTCTAAAAAGTCAAAATACAAGTGCTCTTATTTTGGGGTGTAACTGTAACAACTCAATCCCAACGCTAGCAGATATTGTCCGCTTTGACTTGTTACATATCACTGTCAACCTTATAGTTTTAAAACGCGTCTATCGAGAAGAGATTTTCACACTCTTATAAGAAACCCCTTGATACCATTTGTAATAGTCTAAACTTACTGCTAGCTAATATTGTATGCTTTAGCTCATTACGTAGTGTGAAAACATTTCCCTAATCGACGTGTTTTAAAAAATCGTGAAGTTTACGACAATATGTAACGAGCCACAATGAACAATATCTACTAGCAGTGAATGTTAGCTGTTATAAATGCTCATGATAATTAACCACTCGCAGTTTTTCACTAGAGGCTATATTCGTCCTTGTCTTGCGAGTGGTTCGATAATTATTACACGGGTTTACCACACGTACATAAATTAAGTCAATGATAAATTTGCTCGAAAGGTAAAATTAAAAAAACTTATTAATTTAATTTTTTTTATAAATATAAGAGTTGAAATGTCTCCATGCCATTGGGCGGATTCGAACTTCGGCTCTCAAGTCAAACCCTACTTCCCATTTTTTTTTCTTAGAAAATATTTATCATTATTATTATTTTAAAATTATAAAAAAAAAAAAAAAAAAGGAAAATTCTTGGTTCCTTCCGTCAAACCAAACCAACGCCATCCTTCTCCGTTGGGCATTTTCTCACCAGCCAATAACCCCACAAATTCTCCACTTTTTTTTATTATTATTTATTATTTATTATTTATTTTAAATAGTCTTCTAAAAATTAGATTCTTTCAAAGTTGACAAATATACACGTATTTAATTTATTCTCATAAATGATCGCTTAAAAAGATATTATTCTCGTGTAAATTATATTTTAAAGAACGTTTGACACATCAGTTACGTCAACATGATTATATGCTTCGACGTTTAAGATATTTACTTTTTTTTTCCTACCTAAAGTTAGATATTCATATTCTCGTCTCCATATCTTTTATATACTATAGTTTTTAAATCATTCATACTCTCGCAAATCAACGTGTCACACGAACTTAGGTTTTAAGTACTATTAATTCAAACTTAATCCAATAAATTAGATGTTTAGCGAATAGGTCAATTGAGATTGCATCTTACTATTGGACATGTGTGAGATCCCGCGTTAGTTGGAGAGGGGAACGAAACATTCCTTATAAGGGTAGACGCGTTTTAAAATCGTGAGGTTGACGACGATACGTAATGAGCCAAAGTGGATAATATATGCTAACAGTGTGATTGAGATGTTACAAGTGGTTTTAGAGCTAGACATCGGGTGGTGTACCAGTGAGGACGTTAGGCTCTGAGGGGGTGGATTGTAAGATCCCAGATCGGTTGGAGAGGAAAACAAAACATTTCTTGTAAGAGTGTGAAAACTTCTAATAATTGCGTTTTAAAATTGTGAGGCTGATGACGGTACGCAATGACCCAAAATGGACAATCCTTTTACAAATGGTATTAGAGCTCGATACTAGATTGTGTGCTAGTGAGAACATTGGGCCCCAAGGGGATGAATTGTGAGATCCCAAATTAGTTGAAGAGTGGAATGAAATATTCCTTACAAGGGTGTGGAAATCTCTCCGTAGTAGACGTATTTTAAAACAATAAAGTTGACGACAATATATAACAAACCAAAACAGACAACATCTATTAACGGTAGAATTGAGCTGTTTCAAATGGTATTAGAGACAGACACAGGGTGCTATAGCAAGGACTCATGAGTCTCAAGGATCAAATTGTGAGATCCCACATCCATTAGAGAGGGGAACAAAACATCTCCCTAGTAGACACATGTTAAAGTCGACTGACAACAATACATAACCAGCAGTATTTTTCGACGACACTTAATTTTAAAAAAATATATATTCAATAAAAAAAAAAAAAAAAAAGATTATGCCTTGGGTTTACCCTATAAATATGAAAGGAAAAAAAAAAAAAGAAAAAAAAAAAAAGAAGAAGAAGAAGAAAGGTTCAAAGTTGAAACCCCACAAGAAATAATAAAGTGAAAGACTTTGGAAGAGAACAAAGGTGAGAAAAATATAACAATCAAAAGCCTAATAAGCATTTTCCCTATTTTCTTTCCTTCTCCTTTCCTCCATTCAAACCCCACCTCAAATCCTCATCTCTCACCCCCATTTCCTGCCGACGAGCGGCGGCGGAGGCGGCGGCGGCACAACAACAAACCCCATCAATGGAAATCACCTCTTCTTCAACCACAACAACAAGATCATCCCATGAAAGAGAAACAAACCCATCTCCCAATACTTCCCCAAACAGCGCCGGCACCGCCAATCCCCCGCCTCCTCCTTCTCCCAAGCTTCTCCCCAGATCTGATTCCAATCCTTACCCCACCACTTTCGTTCAAGCAGATACCACCAATTTCAAGCACGTCGTTCAAATGCTCACTGGCTCATCGGAATCTTCTCCCCGTCCACCACACCCACCGTCGTCTTCCAAACACTGTTCTATTCCTCCGCCGTCACAAGACCCATTTCAATCCTCCAAGAACTTCGCTATTCCTCCCATCCGAACTGCCCCCAAGAAACAGCAGAGTTTCAAGCTCTATGAAAGAAGAAATCACCTCAAAAATAGCCTCATGATCAATACCCTAATCCCTAATTTCTCCTCTGCCGGTGGGTTTTCTCCACGCAACGCTGAGATTCTCTCGCCTAGCATCCTTGATTTCCCTTCCCTTGCACTCAGCCCTGTTACGCCTTTGAATGATGACCCATTGTTCGACAAATCGTCATCCTCGCCGTCGCTTGGCAGCTCATCGGAGGAGGAGAAGGCGATTGCCGAAAAGGGGTTTTACTTGCATCCATCGCCGATGAACACACCGAGAGCCGCCGACCCGCCGCAGCTTCTGTCTCTGTTCCCGGAGACATCGCCGAGGGTTTCTGGATCGTCGTCGTCTTCTTCGTAAGAAAACGTGGGTCTCTGTTTGTTTGTTTTTGTAGAGATTTCTAAGTTTTGATTGATTCCTCTTCCCCAAGAACGAGGATCGTTGATCAATCAACTGGGTTTGATGAATTGGGAGGAGAGAGATCTTGGTTCGAATCTTCGCTTGTACAATTTGATGAGAAATCCATTGAACTGAACTTCCCTTTTATTTCAATTGCTCTGTTTTTGTGAACAATTTCCGTTTCATTTTCTTTTCCATTTTCCCTGAAAATTGGTGAGAAAATTTTTCAATACTAACCCACAACATGAATTTTGCTGGATCGAACTTCGTTCTTAATAACCATCAAACGTAGGTGATTTATTTCGACCTTTCGATATGTTTTGTCGTTTTTCTTTACTTACCTTCAACGGTATAAAATTATCGACTGCGAATCAGTTTATAATCAATAGTGATGGAGAAAAGCTTTTGATATTAATTATGATTGACTGAGTGAATGAGAGTGTATTAAACAATGGTGGAGATCCACGAGGAAGATGGTTGGAACTTCCACTCATTGTCTTAATGGATATCTTTGTTCTATAATTGGGGCTGTAAAAACTAATGCTTTCTCACTCCTTTTGTCTTTTGTGTTTCATTCGATCGATCAGAGATGTTCATGAAACGATTATTTACGGGTTACCCATGAGGATTGGTTTCCGTTTCTCGATTGGTGAGTTTTTCCATTATATAATGAGTGAGGTAGGGCGAGAAAGGGATTTGGACGGGTTACGAATGTGATAGCCCCATTTAGGTAGAAAAATGTCTCTCCTCTACTTACTTTCCTCGCTCTGTTCGAGCCAATGGAGGAAATAGACATCTCTAATGGTAAGAATTCGATCGAAAGTCTACGTATAGTACCCAAGTTCACTGCTAACAAATATTGTCTTCAAGGTTTTTAAAACGCCCTTATAAAAACGCTTCATTCTCAGGGATCTCACAATCTACCCCTTAGAGCTTAATGTCCTCGCCGACACTCGTTTCTCTCTCGGGATCTCACTGATGGTATGAAAAAATGAGTCTATATTCGTAGGTCGAATGACAAAAATAACCCAAATTTATGTCTCTAACTGTCAAAGTGGAAAAAATTTTAAAATTCAAGTCAAAGTCAATTGTTGTTTTCTGATTTGGAGTTACCAAAATGTTAATCAATCATTTGCCAACAAATTTCTTCATTTAGATGGGTTGGGTTGGAATTTAGGGCTGTGTTTGGTAAAATTAAATGTAAATTAGGCAATAATAAGTTAGTGTTTTTACGTCACACCCTGTTTTTTTTTTTATATTTATTCGCTAGCTAAGTATTAATATTTATAAATTTTGACATAAATTTCTATTTAGTTTTTAAATTTTTAAATTTCAAAATCTTATCGTTTAAATGATTACAAATTTAAAAACACGCAATTTTAGCTAATGGCGTTAGTATATAGCAATTACCACCGAGCTATATGTTAGAGAGTTTTACATTGGTTAAGTATGTAGAATCTTCAGGTGTCGAATAAACAAGTCATGAGATTTTAAGGTGTAGTTATAGTGAAGATCCCGTGGCAAAGCTCTATTGGACTGACAATGTGCTCGGGAGAAAAAAAAAAAAAGATTTGTCTTGATCGTGCTAGGACCGTATCTCTAGTGGCATGAGACCTTTTTTAGGATACCAAGACAAAACTAGTTGAGTTTATACTCAAATTGGACAATATCATAATGTGAGATCCCACATTTGTTAGAGAGGTAAACGAAACATTCCTTGTAAGGGTGTGGAAACCTCTCCCTAGCAGACGAGTTTTAAAACTGTGAGGTTGATGACAATATGTAACAGGACAAAATGAACAATATCTGCTAGTAGTGGGTTTAAGTTGTTACAAATGATATCAGAGTCAAATACTGGGCGTTGTGTCAGAAAGGACATTGTCCCCCAAGAAGCATTCATTATAAGGGTGTAAAAATCTCTCCCTAGCGTTTTAAAATCGTGAGGCTGACGACGATACATAACGGGCCAAAGTAGATAATATCTGCTAGTGGTGGACTTGGGTTGTTACACATACTATTGTGGAGGTCACTTGTCCCTAACTGATATATAACGAGCCAAAGTGGACAATATCTATTAACAATGAACTGTATCGGTTACACATACCATTATGGAGATCACTTGTCCCTAAGACCTCAATGAGTAATTAATTAAGATAGCTTGGTTGGTTAAGCTTCCTTTTATAGAACCCTTCATTAAAGATAAAACAACAACAACAGAGCTAGAACAAATTAGGGATGACGGGTAAACTTATATTTATTTTCATTTAGAGATATTAAGACAAAAGTTTCGCTGGCGATTTGAAACCCACCGTAGTACTTTTTTTGTTAGAACAGTGATATATAATTAATAATATTCTTTGCGTATATCCCTTACTTGAAAAAACTAATCTGGTTAGTATAGGTATAAATGATCTTTTCTATGTACCACAGCGATCTTTCGAGGACCAATTAAGATTATAATTGATTTAGTTAAAACATATATTATCAATTTTAAAAAATAAAATAAAAAAAGAAACATTTTACCCGTAAATTTTTCAAATCCATCTTTTACGGTATTAAATTACATAATCAATAATAATAAATAATAAAATAATAATAATAAAATCATTATAAACTTACTAATTTCAATAAAAATAAATTTTGGTACGAAATTGAGTAGGATTAATAACCAGATTTTTATTGATATTTTGAGCCAAAATTATTAGATGTTATAATTATTAATATTTAGGGTAAAAATTGATTTTGCTAAAATAAAATTAAAAAAAAAGTTGATACATCATCTTGGTTAGGGGCGTACATTCAATCCGACAACGGACAACACGAATCAATCCAACTTGAACTATAAGGATTGAGTTGGGTTGGATTAGCTTTTCGAATTGGTTTGGGTTTATTTTTCTGAACCCAAACTGACTTGGTTCAATTACGGGTTCCTGAGTCAAATATATAAAATTCAAAAACCAACCCAACCAAAAAATAGAGGGTTGGGTTGGATTATCAATCTAACCAGCTAGACCATGTTAGTCTATCCAATCCAACTTGAACCATGTAAGCCGAGATGACGAGACCCGGGTGAGAGGGGAAGGCATCTAATAGAATAAAACCCAATTGTTGTTGGATAAACCTCAGCCATCACCTCTCTGCACATTACTTTCATCAATCCCAGCTCTATCCACTCTCCCTCTCCTTCCATGTCGAGGGGAACGGAACGTCTGGTGAAGAAGTTGAAGAAATACGCCGACGCTCAGTACAAGATCTTCACAAATCGATATGGGGATCAAATCACTGAAATACTCGACTTCCCATTTAAGGTTGTCTTAGCCCCTTTCACGCTCGCTTTCGACATTGCCGGCTCAGCTCCTCGTGGCTTCGGCGTTCCCGAGCTCATCTCCAAGCTCTCGTTTGCTTCAATTTTTGTAAGTTTTTTAAGTGCTAAGCTTGTTTTCTTTCTCCTATTTTTCTAATTAGCTATGGACTATAAGAAATTCCGAGATTTTAGTGTGTTTGCGTTAGTGTGAATTCTGAGAGTGGAGAGGTTTTGCTCATGTTCTATGAAGAATTGTTTCATATGGCCGCGATTGTTTGGTACAATTCCAAGGCGTAGAACGGAAATGCTTACCTTTTCAGATGATTAGAGGAACAATAGAGTGATTGGCTCCTCACGGATCCAAGATAATGAATTTTCAGTGGTGGGTGTGAAGGAGTGATGCCCGGAATGTTCTTGAAGTTGTTGTGCGAGTGTTGAAGGCGATCTCAAGGATAACATGGTGTGCAAGTGCCGGGAGTGTTAGTTAAACATGGCGTATTGCTCACATTCGTAACCCATTGAACACGATGCCAGGCAAATTACTCCAACTTTACTTATGAGAAGCTAATATCGAGAATGGGTGGGTGCAAAAACCTAATTCGAAGATAAATTGTAGTGAATATGAAGAACTTGGTTGATGACCCTGTTAAGGATGAAATGTACGTCTAATTTCATTCGTTTCTTTTATGAAAGATGAGATTTGAAGATACTGTCCGAATAAATAATTGGTGTTGATGAAAATTGGTTAGTCTGGTAGACAACAAGGGCTCGTATAAATAATAAGGAGCTCAGAGGGAACGAGTTCAAGTCATGGTGGTTACCTACTTAGAATTTAATATCCCACGAGTTTACTTGACAACTAAGCATAGTAGGGTGAGATTGTTTTCTCTTGAGAAAAGTCGAGGTGTGCATAATTTTATCCAAACACTCACAACTATATATAACAAAATGAATAGTTCCAAAGTTTTCTAGTGAAGATTGTGTCATATATTTTCAAGTATCAAAAGGCTCTATTGCTGCTGTCACAGCGGTAGGAATTATTTAGTAATTTCTAGTGGAGATGGGAGATGGATATGTTTTTTCTTGATCCATCCTTGCTGTGTGTTAAGGTTCTTAAACATGCGTTGCCTAAAGCAAAGAACAGTCTTCTAGATGTTTGATATATTTGTAGTGTGGATATTCCTTTTGTTGAAGTCCTGGTTGTGGCTGCAGACTGAGATGTGAAGCCTATAATTTATGGATTTCATATTTGGTAATACCTTAGGCAATAGCCCTAGAAGATTGGAATGTGGGGTCTTCGACCATTGATTGTAAAGTCACTCACAGAAAAAACATTTGCGCTTTACACAACAATGTGAATTCAGATGGTTTTGGTTAAATGTAGCATGTCCCTTGATTCCTAACAACAAGTTAGTTATATCTTTTGAAATGATTTTTTGACTGACATCTTTGATGCACGGTGTTGTTGGTTAGATTAGTCATCTGTATTTGCATTATACTGTCAATGTAACATATGGATCATTGGATAAACTCTGAATCAGCCAGTTGTTTTGTTAATTCTTTTATCGTGTTGAAGGGTAAGCTGTTCTTTACTGTCAATCTTTTTTCTTTTTTAATTCTTGGAGTTTTTCACAAAGTCTTTAAATTTGGAGGTGGTAAGTTTGCACGAGGTCTATAAATTTGGAGGTACTGTCAATTCTTTTAATGTTGTTGTCTCTAACTCTGGTTATTGCAGGCTGTTGCTACTTTTGGGACTTATGATATTGCGCTAGAGCTTGGAAAGAAAGTTGTATGTCAGAGGTGCCTCCTGTTACCATCTTGAATCTCTTTTCATGGTGAATCTTGGGTATAACTATTTTGTTTCACTTCAAAACAAATGAACAGATTATTTAGCTTAAAAGAATCTGCATAACATGATGTGCACAAGATCCTTTTTTTTTTTTTTTGGTAATTATCCCTATGTTCTATTACCCAAAGCTTGAAATCTTATAATTTCGTTTTTCTGTTCTCTGCTTTTGTTCAGTACTTTGTAGGGTCTGTACTTTTATTTGTTAGTTTTTCGTCAACAAAGAAATAAAAAAATTATTTAAAATCTTGCTTTGTTGCACGGTAGCTTATTTTTCTAACTGGTTGTTAGATAATGCTTAGTTTCCAAATTAGATGTACAACTGGAGTTCATATTCCTACATTTTGTGTTTGTTTGTACTTTTACCTTTTTGTCCCATGTCTGGTACTTCACAGATAGTTCGGTCTTTAAATTACAGGCACTGTAATACCTGCAATGGATGGCAAGCCATGCGGTGTACCAAGTGCAGAGGGTCAGGGATGGTGAACTACCAAGTGAAAAACTATACATTGAGAAGGTAAACCAACTTCCTAATTACTTTGGTCTTGATTGTAATTACTTAAATTATTTTTCACGAAAAGAATCATTGACAACCCATTTACCTCAGATTCATAACTTGAATCTTTCTATCAATCTTTTTATTAATACCTCAATTCATAACTTGAATCTTCCTGCAGTGGAGAGAAGGCAACAGCAGAAAGTATTGCAGATGCCATTGCAGAGAATCGGGCCGAGTTGATTCACCTTCCTTCCACCTTGGATCTTCATACACCATTGCCATCCAAAGATTGCCCAACATGTGATGGAACAGTGAGGACAATATATCCATAGTTCAAGCACCTCAAGCCTAGACATTCAAAATAGTATATAAAATAAATAAAAAAACAGTCGTAGTCCTATAACCTAATTATCATCTTGGTATTGTTTTTTGCATCCTTCAGAGTCTTTCTGCTTGCAGATGACTATATAATATGCGCGCCATTTTTGCTTTATATGCACATTCTTATTCAAATGATTCCATTACAACCTATTGGTAACTTGCACACACAATAACTTTTCTATTTTTTTGGCTTGGATGAAATGAAATAAAAGGAGGCGATGGTTGGACTTAAAACTTGCAAACTTTTGCCAACAAGAATTCATTCTGTATACGTTTTGCAGGGAGTGATGAGCTGCCCTGAATGCAAAAATAAATTGCAAGTGAGAATCTCAGCAGACGATGTAAGTTTCATGAAAAGTTTAATCCACGAAGTGCATCTTACTTTATAATGTTGAAGCTTCAACCACTTTTGATGTCTAGTATAAGGCTGCATGAATTTTCGAAACTTTAACTTGTAGCCTGACTTTCTTTTCCTGTAGCCAGCGATGAAAGGACATAGAATTTGATGAATGTAGGATTGCATTGAAAACATTTGATTTGTTGAGCTAATCTATCTTTTGCTTGTTCTAAGGGCGCATGACTTTTAGATTCAAAACCTATTAACTTTGTACTCCAAAAAGAGGGAAAAAAAAACTATGTACTTTCTTTTAATGTGAAAACTAATGCAACCAAAATTGTGTATTTTTTGTTTTAGAGGCCTAGAAAAAATGAGTCGTCTTAAACTTCCAATTTTTCCATTCAATACTGAAAAACTTAGAACTCAAAGACAGTTATTAACCTATAGAGCTAATTACTCTGTTCAATCCAGGTTGTTGATTAATATTAAAAACTACTATAGTGTAAATGAAAATGTTTATCTTTTTGTCTATGTGAACAAGAATGAGTCTTTATTCTGTTGTTCCTTTCATGCAGATCATGGAACCTCCTTGGAAAGCTTATAATGTTTTGAGAAAGATGGAATATCCATATGAGGTTAGTATGCCTTCCTTTACCCCTCTATGGTTATGATTTCTATGCCAGAGTAGTTACTAACGAGAGAGCCGGTCATTTCTTACGTCAAAATACTAGATTTTCATGAGCACACCACATTTGTATAATTGAGTCCCTAACTCATGTCATCACGAATTCAGAATGCACATTACATTAAGCTACACATACCATAACATACGTATATCATGCTGTAAGTATAAAGAGAGCACAAGTCCTCAACCAAACTTTGTATGAGCTGAGAGAAAGGCTACCACATGCCATTTATAGGCAAAAGCTACTTGCCTCAATTTTTTGCATAGGTGAACATTTGAAGTGCCTACAAATCCATTTGGATTGGACGGTCAGTTTGGATGTATGCCGACCAAATATAAGAAAAGGAGAGGAGAATGGGTTTGTTGTAGGATTGCTAGTTTTCTCAAAAACTTTGGAATCATTAGATGAATTCATTTGGTCTTTGTAGAGATTGGAGTAGAGATGGTAGATCCATGTTGGAGGAGGTGCTCCTGAACCCTCCCTTCAGGGAGGAAGGAATCCTCATTTTACGGAGAAGGGCAAAATTTGGTGGCATACTAGTTTTTGTGCAGCTTTGTTGGGTATGGTAGTTGGCTTAAGAGGAATAATAGAATTTTTAGAAAGGTAGAGAGATAGGGTTGGAGAGGTTTGGGAGGTGGACATGCTTAATGGCTCCTTGTGGGTGTGGGTGTTAGTCACTAGACCTTTTTGTAATTACGAACTTGATTTGTTCTTTTGAATTGGAGTCATTTTCTGTAGGTACCAGGTATGGTTGGACGCCTTTTATTAGGGCTTGTTTTTTGTATTCCTTTGTGTATTCCTCCATTTTATTTTTCTGAATGAAAGCGCAGATTCTTACCAATAAAAAAAGAACCCGCGTCTAGGCTCATAGGTATGAGAAAATTTGCTTGCTATTATTACTGCTCGCAGCTCTAGCTAGTATGTGAGGCAAAGTGCAGCTTCAAATGTGATATTTAAGCATGCTCGTCTTAGTCATAAAATGTACAGGGGTGGAGACTCCCTAGTCACCACTGCAAAGAAGGGAAACTATGAGGTGCTCAATGAACTGCACTCAGCTTGGCTGAAATTCATTTTGTACAATTGAGTTAGCACAAGGGCTGAATCCAATCTTTGAACTCAAATGAAAGTGGAGGAAGTAAAAGGGAAACTAAAAGCTAGAAAGGACTCAGTAAGGATTACTAAGCTTGATTTCAGTCTTTGGATGGAATAAATTTTATCCTTGTCTTTAATTATCCAAAACTTCCTTAAATAACACCGAAATGGGGACTAACACCTTTTGACCCAAAGGGATTAGGGCTGGGGAACATGAAATAAGAGATAGAGAGAAAGCAACTTATCTTTTAGGGCTGCCTAGGGAAGAGTGAGGGTTGCTACGGCGAAGACTTACCCCTTAAGGAAATATTGATGGAAATGATTGTTTTACTCCTTAAAACGCACAAGAACATTTATATTCTTAACTTCCATTCACTTCTAATTTTGGAGTCTAGGTAAGTAAATCATAACCAACCTTACCTTGGCAATCGCCACATTTCCAAAGATAATAGTTCATGAAGTTTTCAGAACACACTTGGGAAAACCGTTCATAAATTAGTTTTCATTCTCTAGTGCAAAATTCTATTACATGTCAAATTTTTCTGAGCAATTTGTCCTTGAGATGTGTAAAGGTATGTCATATTTTATATTTGATTGTGGCTTTGGTATTTCAGCATTTAGTTCAGAGTATGAGGGACCCCAGCATTGCGACATTTTGGTTAATTACCTTCCCCCAAATTGTTGGTGGATTCAACTTCGATGATGAGGTCAAGCAAAAGATTTGGTGGCAGTACAAGGTTCGAACCAATTTTCTCACGTGCTTCCTGTTCTGTCAATCACTTTGTCTTTTCTTTTATATTTCATAACGTAAGTGACCTATGCCTGTTGACATTATGTAGTAACAGAAGCATTTTTTTCATTATTAATTATTAGATTGCTCAAAGGAATCTTACTACCCTTTATGTATTTCATATTTTAACATGATGTTTACCTACGGCCTAACTATGGATTTAGCAATATTTAATTTTCAGGTATTACTTCTATGAGGTTTTATGCCTCTCTCAATTTGTCTTAGCAAATTGTTTTGTTTGACTTGATTATATAGGCTTGACAGTACGTACTTCTATTAAATGCTTATAAGTCATATGGGCTTAGTTCTGTTACCTTGTTATAGTTCAAGAGAGAACATAGTTCTCCTCGTTCCTCCCCTCTTGAGCAATATTATATCAATTTTGAAGTGTCTGAATTATTTTCTGGCTAATCTCTTACTTTTCTATATTTTATTTCATTATAAAAATGATTTTTTATCCTCTGAGAATTTTCATAAAATTCGTTTGTATTGTTGATAACTTCATGTAGTTTTTGGTGAACTTTTAAATCACATTCACAATTTGAATTTTCGAAACCCATTTAAGGTTTACTTGGAATGTCAATTATACATGGTTTCTGACGTGGTAAAAGATTTATACTTGCTGTTTCATATTTGCAAACTTTTCATGCTGAACACGTTTTATTTAAGGTTGACCTTTTCAATTTGGTGCCATATTTTTGTAGTAACTTGTTTAACTTAAGATTGTTAATATCACCCATTGATAGCTGTTAATGTTTGTGGGTTGCATTTAGGAATCCATGCGATATGATCAACTCAGAGATGTTGTTGCTAAGCGGAAACCTGGATGGGAGTACTTGCAGGAAGTAAGAAAAATTTTACATTTTAGCACGTTATTTCTTCAACCAATGAAATGCGCTAGAAGTTGGATCACATATTTTTGCTTCTAAATTTCTGGGGATCAGCTATAATGCACTTTGAATTTTATTATCCCATCTTATGAGTATCAGTTGATTATTTTTTTAAACCAGAAATGAAACTTTTCATTGAAGAAATAAAATGAGACTAATGCTCCAAAGATACAAACTCCTTAAAGGAAAAAGATAAAACAAAATTACAAAGAAAAAATAAAAGCTTCCCAATTCAATGTATTCCTTGTACTGAAAAGTTATATAGATGAGGGAGAACACTATTAAGAAGTCTTGATTTTAGCCGACGCAAATTGATAGGGATTATAACATCTTTTTCATATTTTTGTGCACTTCTACTGTTGCAGTATTGTGTTATATTTTGTTCCAAGTAATCTCGAATCTTGGGCAGAAACAATTGTGCAAAAATAATCTTAAAATCTTATATTCCTTAACAAAGTGGCCTAACTTATGTTACTTATTTTTCTTGGTCGTTATTATTATTACTACATGTAGGGTAAATAAAGGGGGTATCCAAGGTGCAAGTGACTGGGATGACCATCCACAATTATTATTTACACATCAATGACTGAAACTTTTAATTCCCGTGAAAACAAATATAGTCTCCCTCTGCTTCCCTATCGTATATGTTTCGATTGTACTTTGCCTCCTTAGAACAATGGTTCATATTTAATTTATTTGTTCTTATAAAAAAAATTAATTTAGTTGTTGATATCTGCAATTCATAGGCCTTGATTTCCATTGATCCTGTTCGAGCCAGGGATGATCCTGTGGTCGTGAAAAACATCCCTTACTTTAAGGCCAAGAAGGCACTTGAGACAGAAGTGATGAAGCTTGATCCTCCACCACGACCACAAAATTGGGGTGTACGTCTGAACTTCCTTCATTTTTGGCACACTTTAAGATCATTGAATCAATGATAAAAGTTTGGTTCTTAACAAAAAAAAAAAAAAAAAAAAAAAAAAAAAAAAAAAAAACATTTTGTTACATTTTCAATCTTATGGTCATAATTCTTTGCATTATTTGATGAGTAATCTATTTTCTCTCTTCAATATAGTGGGTTTGAAACAATCTTATGGTCATAATTCTTTTCATTTTCAATCTTATGCCGAATATCTCAAGGTTTTATTAAGACCTGGTTTTGAAACAATGTCTCTCTTCCCTCTCACTCTTTGGCATTGGCATATCACACCATTTTTTGTTTTTATGTATATAGCTATTGCAATATAGTTGGTTGGATGATTAAGTAATGCATTTTAAGGATACACTACCTACGTAGGCATCAGAAATTTAGAGGATAAGGAGATGCTCTCTTTATTGGCTATGGCTTTTGCCATTATGCTGACTGTGGTTAATTGGCAGGAGTTGGACCTTCCACTGAATTCATCTTCTTGGAGTCAGGATGATCTAAAAGACCCGGGAAAATTTTATGAAATGACTGTTCTTCTAAATGCCCAAAGAGAAATTGCTGATAAAATATTAGATGCTCAGTGGGAAACTAAATGGCGGCAGGAAAAGGTTTGACTTCTCAACCTCTGTGTCTTCTTATGGAATGAGTAACTGGTTTTCTAAGAAACAATTTCTTGATTTGGCTTCTTCTGGACCTAATCATTAAGTAATGGTGCTTCATTTATATATCTATACGAGTATTTGAGTAAGAAACCCAAGAAAGGAGCAATGGATGAAGTTCATAATGATAACTGATACGTATGCACATGTTTGATAACAGAACTCATTTGTCTCTAATTTTTACCCATTATTTGCATTATTAGACTGTCTTCTGTACTTCTTGCTTTTAACTGTCGATCTACCGTGAATTTACTTTTGTTATCGATTTAACGTCAGTTGAATGAGTTGTTGGAGGAAAAGGTGCAGCCTTACTTAAAGAGTGCCAACAGCAATGTCCTCACGGCACCCATTGTGTTGAAACCACAGAACCCGGATCAGAAGGTTATACCCTTTATTTTTCAACCATAACATTTTTTCTCTTCTTGATTTTATCCCTTTACCTCTCCTTTAGTGCTTCAAATATTCTATTCACTTTAGTTCGGGATAACGTAAGTTGCCATTATAAGCATTTGTATATTCTTTCAATGTTAACTAGTTATAGCACGGGCGTGTACAGAGCCGGGAAGGGAAGTGTATAATAGATAGTCGGTGTGAGGGAGAGGCTGCAGTTTTGGTCTTATACTGAATCAGGGACTAAGGGAAGGGGTAGGGAACTCTTGAATCTCCCTTGGTTTAGTTCTTGGTTATAATTATGAATTAAACTCGTTGTCTCTTTAAGAAAAACATCTGTTTGAGTGTATCTAATCGGTAATGCACAGCATGAGTTAAACATCTGTTTGAGAGCTGCTGTTGCTCTCTATGATGCACAGTGCACACACGTACTAACAAAGCACAGATTCATCTCCTCACGGCACTACAAGGATTTCATTTAACATGTTAAAATTGTTTCAGAGAAATCAAAGGCGACGATTTTGGTTCTTTTGACATCGTGCCATCTTTTCACGTCAAAGCGCATCTTGGGTATCCTAAGCTAGCTCCGAAAGACAAGATTCATGGCGACGTTCTTTCTTAAGGTACCTTGCCTCTTTTTTTCGCTTAACGCAGCTAGAAAGTGCACTCGACTAGTGTCCCCGCCCCCACCCGAGCCCCCGGAAAATGAGAAACGAAGAGTAAAGAAAGTTAAGAGAGAAGAGACTAGTGTGGTTTTTGTACTCTTAAGATAGCCCACTAGAACCTCTTATTTTTTTTTTTTTTGAGTTAGGTACTTTTAAGATGACTCTGTTTCTAAATGCCTAATCTATGTGCTGTTAATGAAAACATAGGGTTAAAATCCTATCTTTTAACTGTTAAATTATGAAAATAATAATTAAAAATGCAACTAATTTGTGTAATATACGGATAAATGGGGTTTTCAGTCAATGTCGTGTTGCTTGTGAAACTTTTTGGTGTATTAATTAAACACTCTTGACTATTTTATTTTTGTAATTTCTTTATTTTGTTGTGTTTTTATTTTTAGAATTTGATTATGAATTTAATTATTTCCTCAAGAAATTTATTTTTAGAAATAAAAAATAAAAAATAAATGATTATCGGTGCGATTTCGAACTGATTTACTTATTTTTTTCCCTAACACGCCGTTTTAGAGATTGAGAAATAAAATAAAATTAGGGCTAAATAATGAATTTCTACCCCAGAAAATATTAAATTACAAATTTAATTTGTATAATTTTAGTGTAGTCTCGAGTGTATAATAGACGAACGGTATTAGGGATCATAGGAATAAATGTTTTAATACGTAACAATTTAATCATTATCATAAAAAAATATTATTAAAATTAAAATTTAATAGGATATTTTATTGACCAAATATTTTCATAAATTGCAAAATTAATATTTTTTTTATATGAAATTTATAATAATATAACTAAATTATTAAAGTTCAAATTTTAGGGTTCACTAAATTATTATTGGAGGGAATAAGACTATACTTACTATATATTGGAAAGGACAAAATAGGACAATATTATGGAGCAAATACAATAAATGGAACAGACGCACACGTGGCTGCCGACACTATGGTTACACCAGTAGATTTTAATATGTCACGTCACTGAATGTGACACGTGTACAACACTCCCGATATCCTTCTCCGCGTTTCTTTTACTCTAGATTACGATTGGACTGTCCCCCACTGGGCCCACCTCCCCCATCATACTCCCACGTCTGCTCCTTCTTTTAATTAAAAAGTCCACGTGTACATGGCCTTCCATTGATATACCTTTCCAGAGAAATCTTATAGCCACGTCAGAACTCTTTAATTAAAAAAAAAAAAAAAACTAATCTATTAATTTAAAACGAAAGTAAATTGTTATTATTTATAATATTACTTAACCCAAACCTTGGAAAGTTACACTAATTAATTATTTATTTATTTAAATAAAAGTCACAAATCTTTTCATAACCTTATCTTCCTCTTAAAAATTTTAATTTTTTTTAATAAATGAATATTTATTAATAATAAAGTTATATATTTAGCATATAATATCCTTATTTCATAAGCTAAGTAGAATCTGATTCTATACCTCTTTAGTTCACAATATGTTTTCTTTTTTTAATGCCTTGAAAATATATTCTTTTTTAAAAAGTAATTATGCGAAATATATGTTACTTTGACGAAAACGCCTTCTTACTAGCTGCGTACTTGAAGATTCATTATATTTGTAACGAGCGTTGCAATAAGGCCGGTATTTCAGGTTTTAAGGTTAGTGGTATCATTTTGGGTGATGGCGAGAAAAATGTATCAGTATTATTGGAAATATTAGTAAGATGATATTGAATTGTTCAAAGTGATTGAAAGCACTTACTTTTTAGTCAGCAATAATAATATTGTGAGAAGAAAAAGGACCAAAAAAAATTGACTGAATTAATTGTATTTTTGTATGGTAGCTCAAGTCCTTTCAATTTGGCAACCACTTGCCCATTTAAGAAGTGTTGTAATAATGACATTATATTATAAAATTTAGACCAAAATCCGACCCATTTAGATAACCCATGGTTAGGTTTTTCTCGACGTGGGTTGACATTTTTTTGATCGGGTCAACTTAATTATTCTGAAAATAGCGTTGCAATCCAATATTTGTAATTGGTGTTAATGATGAATTGTAACTATGTAGATCAATAGTATTTTCTAAATAATTAAAAAAAATAATTGTAAACTCCGTTGGGTTGGTTTAAAAGATTTTTTCACGATCAAATTATTTAATTAAATTATTTTAGGAAAATAATGATTAAATAAAAGGAAAATTAAGGAAAAAACAACAAATAAAATATAAAATCACTGGGAGTTTTACAAACACGGGGAAATGAAAGGGGAAAAATAGAAGAACAATATTATTGGAGAAATTTCTCTCAATTTTATTCACAAAATTCTAATTATTAAAAATGAGATTTATCTTCGTTGTCCTTCTTAGGTGAAATTCATAAGAGATCCTCCATTGATGATCATGCTTAACACAACAGTAATGGAACCCAGCAAAATTACTGATGGAGTTGAAGCTATGGCGGACGATCGTGGTGTTGACGGTGTTGTGTCATTTGCAGAGCCTCTTGGTGATGGTGCTTCTCCTGAGGAAGACGACGGAGATAATGGTGGAGACGGCGGGGAATTTATGGGAGCATTGGACTCAGGTGGGAGTAGACCAATTGGCCCTTCGGTCGATGTGGGCGTGATGGCGTCGGCTGGAGATGGCGAAGTGGAGGGGGAATTTGATTCTGAGGATGGTGATCCTGCCGGAGATGATCCGGGGGAGGCGGCGCCGCCGGGGGGCGGTGATCCTGACGGGGAGGTTGCTCCGGGTATTGTGGAAGTGGGAGAACCGGCCGGGACTGGTGATGATGTTGGTGTTTCAGAATCGGAAGGGGACGGCGAAATGTGTGATGATCCTGACGGAGAGCTTGCTCCAGGGTAAGGTGAAGTGGGAGAACCGGCGGACCCAGATGGAGACTGCGAAGTGGGTGTTCCCGTAGTCGGAGATTGCGCTCCCGGACTTAATGAAGGAGATCCGGCCGGGGCTGGTGTGGTCACTGGAGTTCCAGACCCAGATGGAGAAGGTGAAGTGGGCGTTCCCGGCAACGGAGAAGTGGGGGAACCGGCCGGCACTGGCGTGGACATCGGACTTTCAGACCCAGACGGAGACGGCGAACTGGGTGTTCCCGAAGGTGGAGATGGCAAAATAGGCGTCCCTGACGACGGAGACGGCGAGCTAGGTGTCCCCGACGGCGGAGAACCAGAAGGAGATTTCGCTCCAGGATACGGCGAACCAGGAGAATGAGAACCTGATGGTACCGGAGCATGAGACCCAGAAGGAGACGGCGAACTGGGTGTTCCCGAAGGCGGAGATGGCAAAATAGGTGTCCCTGACGACGGAGATGGCGAGCTAGGTGTCCCCGACGGCGGAGAACCAGAAGGAGATTTCGCTCCAGGATACGGCGAACCAGGAGAATGAGAACCTGATGGTACCGGAGCATGAGACCCAGAAGGAGACGGCGAACTGGGTGTCCCCGACGGCGGAGAACCAGAAGGAGATTTCGCTCCAGGATACGGCGAACCAGGAGAATGAGAACCTGATGGTACCGGAGCATGAGACCCAGAAGGAGACGGCGAACTGGGTGTCCCCGACGGCGGAGAACCAGAAGGAGATTTCGCTCCAGGATACGGCGAACCAGGAGAATGAGAACCTGATGGTACCGGAGCATGAGACCCAGAAGGAGACGGCGAACTGGGTGTCCCCGACGGCGGAGAACCAGAAGGAGATTTTGCCCCACCGGGAGAATGAGACCCTGATGGCGCCGGAGAATGAGACCCAGATGGAGAAGGTGAAGTGGGTGTCCCCGACGGTGGAGACGGCGAAGTGGGTGTCGCCGATGGTGGAGAACCAGAAGGCGATTTGGCTCCAGGAGAACCAGACGGCGGAGAGGGAGAAACTCCTGGCGGCTTAGCTTCAGGAGGAGAAGGCAAAACCGGAGGCGAGTAGGATGGCGCCGCTCCAGAAGGTGGCGGGGCTCCCACCGTAGACGGCGGAGGAGGGCGCTGAGCCAACACAACCACCATCAATTTCTGGCCCTTCTCACAGCTCCCCTGCTTACCACTAACAAAATAAAAAGGCCCAGAACGATCAAACTTGAACTCCGAATTCCCATCCTCCAATTTCATAATCGGATTCTTCAAATCACACTTTTCATAACCCTCTTTACTCACCACCAACACAGAATCCGACCCTTTCGCATACTTAAACACTGCCAAACACAGATCAAACACCCAATGTAAAATCAACCAAAAACAGAGCAAAACAGAGCAAAACAGATTAATCAGAGAAAAGCTAAACTCACCAATAACATCATTGACCTGAAACCTGTTTCTATGAGACCAATTTTCGTAGCTCTCAGAGGGGTTGAGAACCCACCCATCCTTTCCACCGGCGTAGAACGTATAAGCATGAGAAACAGAGAGAAAACAGGGGAAGAGAATGCAGAGACAGAGGAGAGACGCCATAGCCAATGGAGAGAGAAATGGTTTAAGAGAGAGAGAAGGGGTTGAAGGTAGAGAGACGAAGGACTGGAGAGATAAATAGAAGGCGGAAATGGTGACCGTTGCAGGGTGGGGAAATGTGGATAAAGCGCGTAGGAGAAAATGGTTAAGAAGGCACGGCAGTGAGTGGAACGATATGTCGACAATTGAAGAGAGTGTAACGACGTGTCGGTAAATTAACGGAAAATGGCGACCGTACACGTGGCTTCATCCTACAACAGCTCAGGGTTTTGAATTCAGAATTAATTTTGGATTTTACTTATTTCCTGACGCCGTTTGTACCACCTGGTTTTTTGTTTTATTTTCCTTCCGCTCTCGACAGGGGATTTAATTTTCTCCATATTTTCACATAATTATTAAATTTTAAATTTATTGAATTATTAAATTTTTAGTCGGGAAAATTTCCCCCAAAATTAATTTAATTTTATATACGAATAATTATAATTTGAGAAATAATCTACTCCACACAAAATTAAAATTAAAATATTCCTTCCACTTTTAAAAAAATACCTTTATCATTAATTTTATATAAAAATCGTTACTATATTGTTTTAAAAATACCCTTAAACTTTAGTAACAAATTAATATCTAGAATTAATAATATTATTATCATTTTTTAGTTCAAGCAAGAGATTATTATTTATTTTAAAAATAATTGTCCTTAATTATTTTTAGAATTAAGTTATAATTAAAATCATTAAAAAAAATTTACAAAAGGCCATAAAGTAGCAATAAAGGAATCTCTTTACCCAAATATTTGGGTTAATTAATGTTAATTTCACTATGAACATGTCTTTAATTTACTTTAACATCCTTTAATTTTCTATTATTTAAATAATTGTATTCAAACCTTAGATTTATTAAAATTAATAAATTATTGATTGTTTTCTTTAATATTTTTTCATGCTTCTATAATGATATTATCTACTTCTGATCGTTTTTCCAAAAGCCCTCGTAGCAATGGTAATAGTGTTCCTCTAATCTTCATCGTAATTAGTCAATGTGGGACTACTCCTTTCAATAATCCTCGGCCGTTAATTTTTAAAATTTTAAACTATATTATGAACACGATAGATATATAATTGGAGATTCGAGAACCCTTTTAAATACAAACTTAAAAATTTAGAAACTTATAACTCGACCTTTAAAATTAGAAGGTTTAATATGTCGGAGTGTTACTCTTTCGAAAAGACTTTGCATGGATGATAGCAACATGTCAATGGAAGAGACAAAAATCGTGGAGATTGATCTTTATTGATGTGGCTAAACAAGGAGTACAATAACGCCATGCCATGTGCTATTCATTCTTGTGTTATGTGAGAACTCCAATGTCGATATTAGGAGCTTGTAATCTCTCGAGATCAAGATCTTGATAAGTTGGGCCACGTCTAAACTCTTTGTTTTTGTTCGAGAAGCAGGTGTTGGATGATGAAAGTCCCACATCGGTTAATTTAGGGAATGGTCATGGGTTTATAATCTAAGAATACACTCTCCATTGATACGAGGCCTTTTGGGAAGCCCAAAGCAAAGCCATGAGAGCTTATGCTCAAAGTGGACAATATCATACCATTGTGGAGAGTCGTGTTCGTCTAACATGGTATCAGAGCCAGACACCGGACGATGTGCTAGCCTTCTCGCTGTTCCCCGAAGGGGGGTAGACACGAGGCGGTGTGTCAGTAAGGATATTGGGCCCCAAAGGGAGGTGGATTTGGGGGCGGTCCCACATTGATTGGAGAAAGGAAAGAAAGCCAACGAGGACGTTGGGCCCCAAAGGGGGGTGGATTGTGATGTCCCACATTAGTTGGGGAGGAGAACAAACCACCAGGTAGACACGAGGCGGTGTGTCAGTAAGGATATTGGGCCCCAAAGGCAGTCAAAAATGACTAAGACTCCAAAGGAGTTGAGCCTCGATTCGATTCGGTTAAGTGGACAATATCATACCATTGTGGAGAGTCGTGTTCGTCTAACAGCAGGAATGGAGAAGATTTTCTTATTCCCGTCCCTACTTTAGCAAAATTCTCAAATTATTTAGAATTATCTGGGAATAATTCTCGGAGATCGAGCTCCATGTGTAGAGTTTTTTCCATTTTAATGTCAATTTCGAATAATTAAATCCCATTTTATAATATAATTTATATGAAAAAAAATATAAAATATCGTAATAAATTGAATAATATTACATAAGTAAAATAACATTAACGGTAATTTGGGTTAAGTTAGAGGCAAGAATATAATCTTCATCCCCGACTCCATTTAGCTAACGTTGACTTGATTCGTTAAAAATTTTAATTAAATTAAATAACTATTTTTTAATTGATTATTGATAAATTCATAACCTAATGAAATTATTTAGGAGTTGTTACAAATCATAATTACATAATGTTTATTATTTTTTTATGGTCAAAGCATTTAATGCCAACAAAAATATTGGCTCTTTTTAACTTCGCTTCTCAACTTTTTATTTTAATAATTATTGGAAAATACATAAATAACAATAACAACTTAGATTTTATTATTTATACTATTTGTCTTTTAAATATAAATATATATATATATATATATATATAAATTTTATTTTAAAATTGTTAATTCATAATTTTCATACACGTAAAAAAATTCTTTTAAATGTAATAATATTAATGAAAATAGTTATAAATTACTAATCTTTCCCAATCTACGGAATTTTATATCCAAAATTTTAATTATTTCTCTAAATCATGTTAGACGAATACGATTTTCCACAATAATATGATATTGTCCGACTTTGCTTTGGACCTCCCCAAAATACTCATACCAATGAAGAGAGTATTCATGGATTATAAATTCATGATCATTCCGTAAATTAGTAGATATGAGAACTTTCATCATCCAACAAATCAAACTCAGGTCTAGAAAAATATTTTAAATAAACGAAAGAATGCAACCGAGAATGAGAACAAATGGGTATTTCAAAGAGCTTACATGAAGAGAGGCAAATCAAATAGCTACAACATGAAAGTCGTCTTTAATAATGGGAATGAAGCGCATGAGCATGAACATGAGCATGAACATGAGAATGCCCATCAACATGTGCATGAACATGAGCATGAACATGACCATGATCATCAACATGAGCATGAGCATCAACACGAACATGAGCATGGCTATGATCATGTTCATGATGATGTGGGTGAGCTGATAGAGGGTGGAACTCAGCTGAACAAAGAGTAAGGCAATAACCAGACGTTAAACCGGCCAATGACTTTGTGCAACCTTGGATGCATTGAGAGACCGCACCCCCGGCAGGGACAGTCGCCTCCGCTGCCATTGGAAGCAAAACGACAATGATAAGAGCAACCATCATCGTGACGACGATCAGAACCCTTCTCAGTGTTGATTTAGTTGAGTTCATGATCGTATTCGTCGTCGCTCTCTCTTCTTTCTTCCTTGGCTCCGCCCATGGTTGGTTTATATAGGTTGAAGAGAAGGGTTGGCTGTTTCAGGTCGTTGGCCAGGAGCTAGAGAGAGCTTGTGTGGTGCAGGCAGCAGGGGCAAATTAGCCCAAGAATTTGAACTCTTAATTTAGAATGTTGGTGGTTGGCCATAAAATGGGAATGTTTTATTTTATTATCCAACCTAATAATCTAATACAAGCATAGGGTTGCTATAAATGTAACCATAGAGAGAGGTTTTCACGTCCTGTAAATAAAAGAACATTTTATCATAGAATTATACCTTTGTTTAATTTCTATTGAAGCATATTTGGAAGGGAGCACAGGGCAAACGATTCGAAGCCGACTTGTAACAACTCAAACCTACCGCTAGCAAATATTGTCCGTTTTAGTCCGTTACATATCATCACAAGTCTCACGGTATTAAAGCGCGTCTACTAGGGAGAGGTTCCATACTTTTATGAGGAATGTTTTGTTCCCCTCTCAAACTAATGTGGGATCTCACACGACTCACAGGAAAGGACTGGCGTTCGAGCTCAAGGCAAAGGGAAATGGGGAACGAAATTAAATTAAATAAACCTAAAATAAGAACTTTATAATCCAAAATACCACTAATTAATCAAAATCCAGCTCATACATTTCTAGGATACATTTCTAAGAATCAAGTCAAAGCTGAATTTTGCTTACCTCGATTATCAGACAGCTCAATTCTTGTCCACTTTGAGCGAACTATTACTACCAACAGTGTCAAAGTTTGGCATAACAAGCCACAGATCAAACCAATCCACAACCCCTGCACCACAAAACATTTTACTGACGCTAAGTTTCGATCAATTTCAACGTTTAAATCCTATTTTAGTTTTAGAATTTCCGTGTTCGTTCGGAAAAAAACGAACCATTTGAATCCTTACCGTGGCATAAAGCTTCATTCTGAATTCCAGAAAGACTGCTGTTGAGATACCAACAAGATAGAATGTAGCTAAGTTTACAACCACAACCATGTGTTGCCAACCACATCCTCTAGCCACCCCTGCAAGTCACGACATGTGAGACGAAAAACCGGATTTGTAAAGGAAGAACGAGAGGGAAAGCTTTCGTGGGAACCTGATAATACGCCTTGGACGGAGTCGGCGAGCACGGAAATGGTGAGAAGGGGTGTCATGGAGGCAAAGGCTTGTATAATTACAGGACTACTACTGAAGAATCCTGCCCAGATGTTGTGGCCAAATGCTAGAAGAAGAACGACTGAAAGGCCTAGAAGGAATGAGAGTAGAAGAGTGACAAACATGGCTTGTCTTGCTCTATCAGGGTTGCCTGCCCCCAGCTCATTTGACACCCTTGTGCTGTTCAACATGGTTGTCTTGTGTTATGATATTGGAGGGAGAGGGCATGGAGAAAAAAGGGAAGTAAAAGAGGAGATTTGTATACCTTGCAGCTGCACTGAGTCCATATGTGATCATGTAGGCAATGGCTTCTGTGTTTACACTTTTCAATGCATCATTCCAAAGGGAGATATCAGTTCATCGTTGTAAATAGATTTCTAATGCTTTTCAAAAGTGTTGTAATGGGATAATTCAAAGATTTTTCAATGTGATATAACAAGAACTCATGAAAGCATTTCTTCCCGACACACTTTGTTAATAGAGATGTGAGGTCTCG